ACAGTTTTAAGAGCAAGTTATTTGACTGAAACTATGGAGTTAGTTTTCTGTAACATTTTATAAGTATATAAATCGGATCATGTTGAATCGGTGGACTATATATATATATACATATATACAGCTGCCATTGGAACTATCGGAAAATGTTCAGAAAATAAATTACAATTTTTAAAGTTTTCAAAAATATTTATCTAATTTGATTCAAAGCTATCTTTTGTTATTATAGAACTTCGATTTTAGTTATATGCAAATCAGAATACTATATAATATAACTGCCAGAGAAACGGTTGTTAAATTAAAGGATCAGTAAGTATCTATAAGCAGTAAGTAACTCTGAACAGTAAGTATCTATGAGCAGTAAGTAACTCTGAACAGTAAGAATCCATGAGCAATGAGTAACTCTGATCAGTAAGTATCTATGAGCAGTGAGTAACTCTGAACAGTGAGTATCTATGACCAGTTACTAACTTTAAACACTGATAAACAATGACTTGCAAGTTTAGGAACGCAACACATATCTGAGACTTGGCTAGCAGCAGTCACTTCGTTCCGGGGATGTTTGAACCAGTTGGGAATCATAGGCCACGTGTGCGAGATTTGTTTTGGCACAGTTTTAAGAGCAAGCTATTTGACTGAAACTATGGAGTTAGTTTTCTGTAACATTTTATAAGTATATAAATCGGATCATGTTGAATCGGTGGACTATATATATATATACATATATACAGCTGCCATTGGAACTATCGGAAAATGTTCAGAAAAAAATTACAATTTTTAAAGTTTTCAAAAATATTTATCTAATTTGATTCAAAGCTATCTTTTGTTATTATAGAACTTCGTTTATAGTTATATGCAAATCAGAATACTATATAATATAAATGCCAGGAAAACGAATGTTAAATTAAAGGATCAGTAAGTATCTTTAGGCAGTAAGTAACTCTGAACAGTAAGTATCTATAAGCAATAAGTAACTCTGAACAGTAAGTATCTATAAGCAGTAAGTAACTCTGAACAGTAAGTATCTATGAGCAGTAAGTAACCCTGATCAGTAAGTATCTATGAGCAGTGAGTAACTCTGAACGGTGAGTATCTATGACCAGTTACTAATTTTAAACACTGATAAACAATGACTTGCAAGTTTAGGAACACAACACATATCTGAGACTTGGCTAGCAGCAGTCACTTCGTTCCGGGGATGTTTGAACCAGTTGGGAATCATAGGCCACGTGTGCGAGATTTGTTTTGGCACAGTTTTAAGAGCAAGCTATTTGACTGAAACTATGGAGTTAGTTTTCTGTAACATTTATAAGTATATAAATCGGATCATGTTGAATCGGTGGACTATATATATATATACATATATACAGCTGCCATTGGAACTATCGGAAAATGTTAGGAAAATAAATTACAATTTTTAAAGTTTTCAAAAATATTCATCTAATTTGATTCAAAGCTATCTTTTGTTATTATAGAACTTCGATTTTAGTTATATGCAAATCAGAATACTATATAATATAACTGCCAGAGAAACGGTTGTTAAATTAAAGGATCAGTAAGTATCTATAAGCAGTAAGTAACTCTGAACAGTAAGTATCTATGAGCAGTAAGTAACTCTGAACAGTAAGAATCCATGAGCAATGAGTAACTCTGATCAGTAAGTATCTATGAGCAGTGAGTAACTCTGAACGGTGAGTATCTATGACCAGTTACTAACTTTAAACACTGATAAACAATGACTTGCAAGTTTAGGAACGCAACACATATCTGAGACTTGGCTAGCAGCAGTCACTTCGTTCCGGGGATGTTTGAACCAGTTGGGAATCATAGGCCACGTGTGCGAGATTTGTTTTGGCACAGTTTTAAGAGCAAGCTATTTGACTGAAACTATGGAGTTAGTTTTCTGTAACATTTTATAAGTATATAAATCGGATCATGTTGAATCGGTGGACTATATATATATATACATATATACAGCTGCCATTGGAACTATCGGAAAATGTTCAGAAAAAAATTACAATTTTTAAAGTTTTCAAAAATATTTATCTAATTTGATTCAAAGCTATCTTTTGTTATTATAGAACTTCGTTTATAGTTATATGCAAATCAGAATACTATATAATATAACTGCCAGAGAAACGGTTGTTAAATTAAAGGATCAGTAAGTATCTTTAGGCAGTAAGTAACTCTGAACAGTAAGTATCTATAAGCAATAAGTAACTCTGAACAGTAAGTATCTATAAGCAGTAAGTAACTCTGAACAGTAAGTATCTATGAGCAGTAAGTAACCCTGATCAGTAAGTATCTATGAGCAGTGAGTAACTCTGAACGGTTAGTATCTATGACCAGTTACTATCTTTAAACACTGATAAACAATGACTTGCAAGTTTAGGAACACAACACATATCTGAGACTTGGCTAGCAGCAGTCACTTCGTTCCGGGGATGTTTGAACCAGTTGGGAATCATAGGCCACGTGTGCGAGATTTCTTTTGGCACAGTTTTAAGAGCAAGCTATTTGACTGAAACTATGGAGTTAGTTTTCTGTAACATTTTATAAGTATATAAATCGGATCATGTTGAATCGGTGGACTATATATATATATACATATATACAGCTGCCATTGGAACTATCGGAAAATGTTCAGAAAAAAATTACAATTTTTAAAGTTTTCAAAAATATTTATCTAATTTGATTCAAAGCTATCTTTTGTTATTATAGAACTTCGTTTATAGTTATATGCAAATCAGAATACTATATAATATAAATGCCAGGAAAACGAATGTTAAATTAAAGGATCAGTAAGTATCTTTAGGCAGTAAGTAACTCTGAACAGTAAGTATCTATAAGCAATAAGTAACTCTGAACAGTAAGTATCTATAAGCAGTAAGTAACTCTGAACAGTAAGTATCTATGAGCAGTAAGTAACCCTGATCAGTAAGTATCTATGAGCAGTGAGTAACTCTGAACGGTGAGTATCTATGACCAGTTACTAATTTTAAACACTGATAAACAATGACTTGCAAGTTTAGGAACACAACACATATCTGAGACTTGGCTAGCAGCAGTCACTTCATTCCGGGGATGTTTGAACCAGTTGGGAATCATAGGCCACGTGTGCGAGATTTCTTTTGGCACAGTTTTAAGAGCAAGCTATTTGACTGAAACTATGGAGTTAATTTTCTGTAACATTTTATAAGTATATAAATCGGATCATGGCGAATCAGTGGACTATATATATATATACATATATACAGCTGCCATTGGAACTATCGGAAAATGTTCAGAAAAAAATTACAATTTTTAAAGTTTTCAAAAATATTTATCTAATTTGATTCAAAGCTATCTTTTGTTATTATAGAACTTCGTTTTTAGTTATATGCAAATCAGAATACTATATAATATAAATGCCAGGAAAACGAATGTTAAATTAAGGGATCAGTAAGTATCTATAAGCAGTAAGTAACTCTGAACAGTAAGTATCTATGAGCAGTAAGTAACTCTGAACAGTAAGTATCTCTGAGGAGTGAGTAACTCTGAACAGTAAGTAACCCTGATCAGTAAGTATCTATGAGCAGTGAGTATCTATGACCAGTTACTAACTTTAAACACTGATAAACAATGACTTGCAAGTTTAGGAACACAACACATATCTGAGACTTGGCTAGCAGCAGTCACTTCGTTCCGGGGATGTTTGAACCAGTTGGGAATCATAGGCCACGTGTGCGAGATTTGTTTTGGCACAGTTTTAAGAGCAAGTTATTTGACTGAAACTATGGAGTTAGTTTTCTGTAACATTTTATAAGTATATAAATCGGATCATGGCGAATCGGTGGACTATAAATATATATATATATACATATATACAGCTGCCATTGGAACTATCGGAAAATGTTAGGAAAATAAATTACAATTTTTAAAGTTTTCAAAAATATTCATCTAATTTGATTCAAAGCTATCTTTTCTTATTATAGAACTTCGTTTTTAGTTATATGAAAATCAGAATACTATATAATATAACTGCCAGAGAAACGGTTGTTAAATTAAAGGATCAGTAAGTATCTATAAGCAGTAAGTAACTCTGAACAGTAAGTATCTATGAGCAGTAAGTAACTCTGAACAGTAAGAATCCATGGGCAATGAGTAACTCTGATCAGTAAGTATCTATGAGCAGTGAGTAACTCTGAACGGTGAGTATCTATGACCAGTTACTAACTTTAAACACTGATAAACAATGACTTGCAACTTTAGGAACACAACACATATCTGAGACTTGGCTGGCAGAAGTCACTTCGTTCCGGGGATGTTTGAACCAGTTGGGAATCATAGGCCACGTGTGAGAGATTTAATTGGCACAAATTTAAGAGCAAGCTATTTGAATGAAGCTATGGAGTTAATCTTCTATATAATGAATAGAAATTTATACATTTTTTTATCTGCCGGACATTGCCAGAAAACTTTGTCTGTTGACTAAAATTAGAATGCCCTTCAAAGTTCATATATTTTAGTGATTTTAAGTTGATTAAGATTTATTTGTTGACACAAATTTTAATTGAAAACCTCTTAATTTCATTTATTTTGGAAACTTTTTTAAATAGTTTTGAAATCCTGTTAGCAATACACATCCCTTAAGAGCTTTGGGTATTAAGAGAAGGCATAGCAGAAAATATTGATAATATATCAATAAATACATTTGTTTAAACAAAATTTAAGCCATAATTAATGAATAAATCGGTATCACAATCGTGCGATATATTTGATAGACATTTATAAAATTTTTCGATAATATTTCGACATTTTAAGGTCATATGCCATATTTGTCGAATATATAATATATTGTTTTTCTAATGTACCATATTTTTCAATAATTAAAGATTCTATATACCAAGGCTTAGGACTTTTTCCATATTATATAAAGCGCGATTAATTTTTGGATATATGTATATATAATAAGAAATATGTATATAATAGATATAGATCACAATTTCAGAGGAATAACTCACGTTTTCAGTGCGCCACGAGTGGAGCTGGAGCTGGAATTGGGACTGGAGCTGGGACTGGAACTGACACTGGCACTGTTATTATCCGCAGGAACACTGGAATTAAAACTGGAACTGTCGCTGGAACTGTAGCTGCTGTATGGCGGCGGTGCCGGCCAGCTGCGACGAATGCTGTTGCTGCTGCTGCTGCTGGCACTTGCAGCGCTGTCCAGGAGCGGAGTATCCCGCGTTTGGCGCTGACCTCGCACACTTCCACGATCCCTGGAAGAGCGACCAGGAGCAGCAGCCGCTTCTGCTGCTGTGGTTGTTGGTGTTTTTGCTGTGGTGCTGCTGCGTCGCCGCTGCCATTGCCTAACGGTAGTCACCGGAAGCGGCGTTGTGCTGCTGCTGCTGATGCTGCCGCTGCGAGCGGAACCGCGACTGCGACTGCGACCAGTGCTTACTGTTATGTCAATCGACTGCGTCGTTGGCGGTCGACGCTGGCGTGGCGCTCGCAGCGTTGGCGCCTCAGTGCTTGTTGTGGATGCCACGCCTCCTCCAACTCCAGCCAGTAACTGCCCCTGACCGGGTCCCTGTAACTGTAACTGTAGTTGTAACTGTCCTTGTCCTCTGCCGCCACGCTGCCGTGTTGCAGTCGCTGTTGCTGTTGCTGCTGTTGCTGCAGTTGTGGGTGCAGGTGTCGCTGCCGTCGTCAGCGACGTCACCGCCAGCAGAGCTATAACTATCCAGTGCAAGGTTAAGGATGCCATCTGGAAAACGGAAAATAATGCAAATAAAAGGAAAACTTAGTAAACAAAATTTATATATTATTATTATATTTAATAAAGAAATTATAAATTTTAAAATGGGATTTTTTAAACCATTTACATATTTACATATACATAAAAATCCCATGCTAATATTTATAATTTCTTTATTTAATATAATATTTATTATATTCTTATACTTATAATAGTAGCCTTGAGATTGGTAAATACAAAAAATAACAAGAACTGTCTTAAATAAGCAATATATTAAATAATTTGTATGGGATATTCTGCAGAAATTAAATTATTATATAGTAAATAGCATTTATTAAGTAAATTGGTAAATAAAAAAAAAAACAAGAACTGTCTTAAATAAGCAATAAATTAAATAATTTGTATGGGATATTCTGCAAAAATTAAATTATTGTATAGTAAATAGCTTTTATTAAGTAAATTGGTAAATAAAAAAAAACAACAAGAACTGTCTTAAATAAGCAATATTTTAAATAATTTGTATGGGATATTCTGCAAAAATTAAATTATTATATAGTAAATAGCTTTTATTAAGTAGTTTAACTCAGCAAATTATTAACAAATTTTTAATCTTTCTTCTGCTGAATTTAAATTAATAAAATAATTTAAACAAGAAAGAAAACTAACTTTAGAAAGCCGAAGTTTATATGCAACATTATACCCTTGCATTAAATTATAGAATCGAATCGCGGAGATCGATAATGACAAAGTCTAAAATATTCAAAATCATTAATTCGATAATTATCAATATTTTTATATTATAACAATTTTTAGACTAATCAAAATTAAAAAAACTCATAACTCAGTCAAAAAAGCATTAATTTCAATTCGGCAAGCTTTTCTATGTTTGTTTTTATTATGTCAATTAATCTGGATACTCAACTTAAAATTTTAAAAATATTAAAGTTTTTGCCCATTTTTCACAAATTTAATGATGAAACTCATTTTAAAATTTTGAAAAAATGGTTAAAAATTTATTTTTTTTCCAAAATGGCTAGAAAGATTCGCCTTTTGATGCTGATCAAGAATATATATGATTTATAGGGTCGAAAATGATTCCATCACTAATTTGTAAGCTCTTGACTGAAACTATCTTCGTCTTTAGGGGTCTAAAACAGATAAATGATAAATTAATTACTGAAAGTATAATCTCCTTAAACGGTTTAAATTAAACTATCTTCCAGTTAGCAATTAAATCACTGAAGGTAAGACTATTTTTCGATATTTAAAGGAAAGACTATCCGGGGTTGTGGTGGACAATGGTACGTATACGTGATATTCTATGTTGGTTGAAGCGATATTACGTATACGTAGTGGTTTTTTTATATTGCGTTTCAAAGTTTAAAAAATCCATAGCTTAGCCAAAAATACATTGGTTTCTATTCGGAAAGCTGTTCTGTGTTAACATTTGACTGGGTAATAAATCTGCATACTCAATTTAGAAAATTAAATTTTTGCAAATTTTTCAAAATATTAACGATGTTACCCCTTTCCTTTTTTTCAAAAAATGGAAGCTTTTTTTAAAAATTTGTTTTTCTGCCGGAGATAGCTATAAAGATTTGTCTGTTAATGCTGATCAAAAATATATATAATATATAGGGTCAAAAATGACTCCTTCACTGTTTTGCAGACTTCTGACTAAAACTATAATACCCTACACAGTATGTATAAAAAAAATCCCAGAAATTACACGTAATTCCTTCTCGAACAAATTGTATTGATGTAATCTCCTGGCATTCACAAGTATTCTCAACATTTATCTTACCAAAATCCTGCAAACAATGGCTTAAACGTGAAGGTCTGAAGAGGCTCATTCAACCGTTAATCAATTGGAAATACCAAAAAATCTTCAAAAAACTAAATATAAAGGAAAAACGCTCAAACCAGCCGCTGTTGTAGTTGTTATTGTCGAGAGCACTTAATTAACATGAGTGAGCAGCGGCAATAACAAAAACACGCTTGAAAATTTAAGCACGCGTCGCTTTATAAAAAAAATTAAATAAAATAAAAAAAACCAAGGAGAAACCTGAAGTAAAAAATCGTTTTTTCCAAATGCACTTGAGCGCATCGCTGGAAAAATAAAAGAAAGAGGAATGCAGTTTCCAACAAACTATAAGCGATTGTTTTTCCGTTCGATTGCATAATTGAAAATATACGAAAATAACTAAATCATAAACATACAAAAAAAAAAAAACGATCGGGAAATGAAATCAATGTTGAAAATTTAATTAATAACGGAAAAATAAGAAATTGAAAAGGAAATGCTAATAGGGAATTAAGGGAAATTTCGTTAGCTTACTTGAATTATAAACTTTAATCAAAATGTTACTTTACCTTTATTCTAAATGTAATAATTACATTGTTATTACGAAATTTTTCACTTTATTTTAACATCACTTTATACTTACAGTGATAAACAATAAATATTAAAAATATTATTATAATTTAAAAATTTTATATTCATGCTAAAGCTGAAAAAGTGTGACTTGAATAAACCCTAGATTACTTAATTTCAAAAGCAATTGGTAAGTTATTATTATTGTAATTATTTTATTTAATTGTGAAATCACTTCTGAAGACCTACCAATATTCTTCAGAAAATCAAATTAAACAATTAAACAGTGATTCAGGTATTTTAGTAAAATTACTCTCATTTATCCAGGTTCTTTTTACCAATTTAAAATTGAAATTGTATATAAATAATTATTCTATTATCAACAATAACAATTTAAGACTCAAAGCTAATAAATACTTTTATTTTTTATATTTTTAGAAAGCTGTCGAGACAGAATTAAGTATTTTCCCTTTTTATTCTCTAAGAAACATTTCCTTCACAATAAGCATTCTATTATTCCTACCACCAAATAGACCTTTTCGCCTCGATTTCTGTGGCTTAAGTTTGCAAAAAAAATAAAATAACAACACTTGAATGGTCCAAAAGAACTTAGGCTTGCCCGCCCATCAATTTAATACAATCCAATTCAATTCGAACCAACATCGCCCGTCACTTTCGACGCCCCGAAAATGCCAAAAGCGAAATCAAGGACAGAGCTTTGAAGAAATCGAATCATAAATAACACTTTACTTTTGCGTTTCTTAGTTTTTTTTTTATTTTAGCTTTAACTTCAGTTTTCAGCTCCAGCTTGGACTTCTTGTCTCTGGGCATTACTCATACGCGCCGTGGCTAATTGACCAAAAAACGCGACAGGTTGAAGACTTTTTTACCCCCATATTTTTCCTGTCGATTTCTGGATACAGTGAGCACTCCGTAAAGGGAAACATATATAAAATATACAATATATAATATATTTATTATATAAATATTTATGATTATGAGTTATTTTTAAATGATTTTTATAGTAACATTTACTTTTTAATTTTAATTTATAGTCTATTAAGTTGTTTAGTTTTAGAAAATTCTTTATTAAAAACAAATTGTAAATTTAAATGGATGTCACTTTTACTTTAGTTTTTTTATTATTATAAGCTTTTAGTGTATTGTTTTTAAATGTGCAATGTTTAAGGTAAATAATAGTATAAACTTTAAAAGCATTTTCTATCTGGGAAGATTTTTTTATTTTATATTTTTATATCAATATATTTATATTTTTATAATGATATAATAATAATATATAAAACAAAAAAGGAAAAAGGGCATCCGATATAGAATAGAATTCTATAATCATATTTTAATTATATAATCGCATCGGAAATCAATAATAAAACTAAGCTTTAAATATTTGATTTCCTTGAATGTATATTTGTTGATATTTTATAAAACCATTTTTTCAACTAATCAAAATTTAAAATTCTCATAACTACACTAAAAAAGTATTAATTTCAATTCGGAAAGCTTTCCTATGTTAGTTATTTTAAGGCTAATAAATCTGCATACTCAATTTAATATGTAGAAAAAATTACAATTTTTGGAAATTTTAACGATGTAACCCCTATCATTTTTTTCAAAAAAATTGAAATTTTTTTATTATTCTTTTTGTCTGCCAGAGAAAGATTCGCCTATTGATGCTCATTAAGAATATATATGGTTTATAGGGTCGAAAATGATTCCATCACTAATTTGCAAGCCTCTGACTGAAAGTATTATCGTCTTTTAGGGTTTTAAAAAGATAAATGATAATTTAATTACTGAAAGTATAAACTCCTTAAACGGTAAAAATAAAACTATATCCCAGTTCCATAATAAATCACTGAAAATAAGATTTTTTTAAAAATATTTAAAGGAAAGATTATCTGGTGTCTTGAGGACAATGGTACGTATACGTGATATTCTATGTTGGTTGGGGCGATATTACGTATACGTAATGGTTTTTTTTATAATGCGTTTCAAAATTTAGAAAATCCATAGCTAAGCCAAATGTGCATTAATTTCAATTCGGAACGCTATTCTGTGTTAGTTTTTATTAGGTTAAAAAATCTGCATACTCAATTTAAAATTTAAAAAATTTGCTTTCTAAATACCCTACTCCATTAGAAGAGTATTTGTTGGTTTAGTCTCAAGGAATTATTTAAAAGAACTAACCAAATTATTCATTTATTGTTCCACCTTATCGAGTGTCTGCTGTCCATAGCTTAATTTTTGTTTTTGGTTTTATTGGCGCCCACAAGTGCAGACGCCAAATGCTTGGAGCATTTTTATTGTTGGGCGCAGTTGCCAAACCCCGAAAACAAAAAACAATGCAAAGTGCACTAAACAAAAAAGAAGAAAAAAATAGAGAAATATGCTAGCAGACTACAAAAAAAAAAAAACAACAACAAAAAGATAGAAACAATCAAATGGAACGTGATTCGAGGCAGAAACTGAAACCGAAACCGAAAACGCCAAAACTAAGGCTAAAAAACTGGACTGGGACTGGACTTTGGGTAGGAATCCGCTTGTGTCTTGTGCCTGGCGACTTGCGCCTGTCCACTGCGCTCCAATTTCTGCCTTTATTTAATTTTTATTTTTTCTT